GTGACCAGACCGTGCATCAAATGGAACGATCATGCAGAAAAAACGGCATCGTCGCCGCCCTTAAAATCGAGACCATTGAGTTCGACCGTTTGGCGGAGGGCCAGAGTCATAGAAAAGACATCCTGAAGCGGGAGCCTTCTAGATCCTAAACGAATAGCTAGCTTTGAAAATGACTGAAGGAAAAAAGAAAAGGAAAGTCAGTAATCGTCAGAATATCTGTCTCCTTTATGACTCCTTGACTGATATGATTTGCTGCACCGTCGTTTTTGAGGAGCCTACAATCTGGCGCTGATATCCGCAACCATGCTATCAGCCAAAAATGCTTATTTTAAAGGTGATTTCTATAGTTACGTGACAAATGTGGCGTGTAGCCCCGTTTCCTTTCCAAAAATAGCTGTACTCGTTAATCTACCTCTGGCGGCTGAAAGATGAGCGGCCTGATCGAGGCCATACGGTGTGCCTGATGCTCTGTCGATCGATAAAACTTTTATTAATAATATCCAAAAATTACGTTACTACTTTAGCATCCGATCTGATTCGGCACACCTATTCGATCTGATTATGCTAAGTCATCGATGCTCTGCTGCATTTACAAAAATACATGCTGTAGAAAGTGGAACACATCGTATCGGGGTTCATCGAAATCGATTCCGCACACTTTCGCCGACCTGAAAGCTGGCCATCAGATCGGCACAAGATGAAGTCCGTAAGAGAAATTTAATTAAATTCTTGGCCTACGCATCAGTCGTGCCACCTCACTGGATGCGAAGATTTCCTGGACTGTCAAAAGATTGCTGACACCAGAAATTTGGCGTTTCATAAAATGTTGAAAGTTACTTAAATTCTGCCATTCGAGGCACCTGTTTTGCGTGATAAATGACAGACAGCGTGTCCTATTCTGACGTGAGCTGCACATGACGGAGACGAAACAGTGACCTCGTTCGAAAGGCACCGAACGAACAAAAGTGCCTCATCGTCACCGCTGCTCGATCGTGTGTTGACAAGAAACATGGAAAACAACATCGTCACCTGCCTCTACCGGCCGGAAGCTGAAAATGAGCACCATGGCATAGAATCCAGTTCGCATCACCCTTCGCATGCACTGTCTTTCGAAATGCATTGCTGTAACTTCAGAAGGTGAAAGAGCGAAAGGAATAGCACCATTTGAGATGCCCCTTCGAGATAGCAAACTAGACCAAAACGAGGGAACCAACCTCTCGACGTACAAACTGTGTATAGCGCGCACTGCACCGGCACTGAAATGACTTTCATTGCAATCTTTCCAGCGTGGCAATAGTTAGTAATTGAGCCGGTGAAGCGCATCATGCGAAACCAACGAATATGCGTTTTGACTCCTTGTCGTTCTTTAAGTCGTGTGAAACTGATATTAGGCGGATCTCTGTTGAGCGATTTTCACACCCTGTACCTAAGAGCAGTCATGAGATTCATTTCAGCGCTTCAAACTCGTACGGTAACTCAAAGAATAATCTTTGTTCTGTAGCGATCTGAGACAAGAGTACATTAGAAATGTAGCACATACTTCTGCTAAGGCAAATTACACTGGGAAACAAAACACAGAACCGTGTTCTGGGGAACAAAGCGGAGTGTCTTTCCTCAGACACAACCGCACCAATGAGGGTTCTTCACCAACGCTGAAATAAGCTACTAACGAGCGAAGGTATCGGGCAACCATGCCCGAACTACATAAAAGGACCGCAACATTAGGAGGCTAAGATCTGAACCAATCCCAGTCTCCAAAATAGCAATGAAGTGTCTACTATCTCGATAAATGAAGACATTTCTTGCAAGCATTAACATCACCAGCGTACGGATACACTAAAGAAGAACAGTAAGGAGCACAGTCAGAGATGATCTTAGAGGCCAACGATTTAGCGTGTCTGACCAGAACCGGCAAGTTATATGCAGTATGAAAAGCTACCGATCATAATGACGATGTACTATCTTCAAAACGGAAGGCCATCACAGATCCAGTCTCACAATCGCGCCGAAGTTAGCATGATACGCGATCGTATGCCAAGGCGAGTACACTGGAGTGCATTATACCCTCTAACGTCGGAGCGTGTCAAAAGCCGCAGCGCAACCCGGATAACCCAGCAGTAACCGATTAGCAGACCCATCCTACACACACACACACACACACACCCTAATCTCGTTTAATACAAAACATAGTAGGAGAGGGTTCCCCTGACTAGAAAAGAAAGCGGCAGGAGTGAAACCACAATCTACACCAATCCCTGACTCTGCGGTAAATAATCCCACAACACGCTGATTCGACCGAGGATAATGCGTATAGTCAGCATGAAAGAAGTCGTCAAATTATGAACTTACAGGCAAGAAGTCAGTTACTTCGACTGCTCAAAAATGGCGCTTCGGACAATAATCGCACTGTCCATTATAGGGGATTAAGTCAAGGAGTGACTGCAAAAAATTCCTAGAGTTTTCGCGATACCGGTCCATGCGGTTTTTCGGGCATGAATATCATATTTTCGGATCGGTAGTATTGTCGCTCCTTACACATCAGTTACCAGAGATGATTTCAAGTCAACTCATTCGCTGGTCACGGCGGAATGGACTAGACGATTACCATAGTCGACAGTTTAGAATAACGCCTGGCATCAAGCATGACTGTGCCTACTGGCAGCTCTACTGGCGAGCAATCAACCATACTGTTTTCATCTACTGACACTACTTGCGTTTATTGCTCAGTTACTGTGCGCAGCTTCTGCGAACTGATGGGCATAAGGGACGGGGACTTCAAATAACTAAGGGAAAATGACTTGCGATCCTGATTCTACACTGACGTCGTTAATCTGGTCAGTGAATCGGACGCCGGTGCTAACTGGCTCAGCGGAGGTGCAAAGTAATTCAACAGGATTTGGCGTCATTTCGTTTTGGCAGATTTTATATTTTCTGTTTGTTGCTCGGTGCCTCTATGGAAAGCGTTAGATGCGTTCTAACATTCTTCAGTTACTTTAGCGAATCAGTCAGTCAGTTTCGATGACCGCTTATCCTTTCGGATCGCGAAAGCAGTCGCGTCAGACAGCATCTCAACCGTACCTAATCCTATCCCAGCGTTTGAGCTTCCGCAGCAGATAACTGAAGTCTGTTGCAGAGTCCTTGGATAGATTTGCCTCAGGTCATACTTCACGCCCCGGGAATTATTGGTCACTTGGCTGATTACGTAATAGCTGTTTTGCCTCCCTTTCTGTATGCATTTGCAAACGCTGACAAACCACTGCAGCTGTAATTTTCCAATCTTGAGAAGCAACGGCCGTAAGCTGCGGCTTTCACGGATACCGGAACTCCGGACCCTGCTGAGATGAGTGAACCAGGCGATCTGCCTCAGAAAGAACATTTCAGCCGCTTGTACCCGCAAGCACAGTTTTTCAATATTTCACTACAGCCAGTATACATAATAGAAGCTAACTTCAGCATTATGAGTCTGCTTGCAAACTGATGGTTTTCGATACCGCCGGAATGAATAACGATTTCCATATCTGTCTGGATTCCAGTGGCGCAGTCACGCCGTCCCATTGTTCCTAGTGGTGTAAAACACCGTCTGGGCAGGTCACTGCTCCACGGCCTTTAGCACCTGCAGTGCACAAGCGCAAAATCGCATCACGTTATTGGTCGAAAAATAGCTTGTTCGAAGTCCAACTGATATATACCTCGAGTATTAACGGTCTTAGTTAAAAACCCGCGTGATACTCGTAATTTACTAACAAAAGCTAGTTTTCCATAATTACTCGCCTATTTACCGATTACATTATCTGCCTGGTTATTTACTCATTTAATTGTCATATTCCTTGCTTATCTACTCCCCGTCAACCTATTTATCCATTCACCTACTTTCCTGCGTGCTTACTTACCTACTGATTTACACCCTTATTTACTTATTCGTCTATATACCTACACACTTACTAACCTAACTTACCAATCTTTTACTCACATCTGTTCACTTATATACTTACTTTCACAACTGCCTCCTTTATTACTAACTTATTTAACAGCATACTTACGTGGTTACTTATCTATTTATTTCGGTACTTTCGTATCTACTTACCTAATTATCTACGGACAACTGTAACCCACTTTAATGGCATTAAATCATGAAAATGTCATGGACCGGCACTGCTTCCAATTATCTACGAACTTGTTTACTTACTTATTCCTCTATCTGCCTACACGCTAACTTAATTGATTGATTTACCTATATGCCTACTTGGTCACTTCATTACTTACCTATACACTTGTTAAATTGTACAGTTATTTTCTCACTCGCCCACTCACATATTTAGTTGTAAACGCTGCTTCCATACTTACTTACCAAGTACATGGATACAAGTATATACATTGCATATTGATTTTTCTGCATACCCTCTTACTGCTTCCCTGCCTCGTTGCTTATTCAGATAAATACTTGTTTATGTGCCAATTTACTTGCTTTTGCATTCTTAACTCTCTGCCTATACACTTACTCGTCCATGAAGTATTATATACTACTACTCGTGTAGTACTTATGTATTTATTTACTTCATTTCTTTCTAGTTGCTACTGTTATTAATGCTTATTGTGATCACCAATTTGAGCCGTTTGCGTTTCCAGCTGGTGATGTTCGCTCCATTTTCAGCTCTTCGACACTTGCCACAAGGCACTGATTACTGTATTACACAAGGAACAATTGTTCTCCGAATGCAGATCCATTGTTCATTCGTGCTGTATGATCTACATCCGCCGTATTTAGTTCCCATCCATAAGTTCACCTGCTGGGCGCAACGCCATATACTCAACCAATTTGTTTAATGTGACCAATCTGTGTTTCATAATCCCTGCAAATGCAGCCATTTACTTTTACTGAATGCCTCCTCCAAGTTTATCCTCATCCTGCGGTAATCTGTGAGGACTAAGGCTGAGTCTGAAGCTCCAACTTGCCCTGATGTCAGAAAGCTAGATTAATTAATAATCAAAAGCTAAAAGTAATGCCGCTACTGAACTGCTTACTGTTCCAGGCAAACATGGGAATGATGGAGTTCACCGTCGCAGTGACAGTACTACTTTTGCGGCAAGCAGTACGAGCACAACAGGATGATAATACATGTCCCCAGGACTGCACGTGCAGTACAGCGAACGGACCGCAGCGGGCCGTGCGGTGCGTGAACGGAGGCCTCAACGACGATAACTTCACGAAGCTAATCGCTACTGTCTCGCTACTTTCTACCTCCATCTACATTGCAGGTACGGATAGAAAACCTAACAATTTCAGCATGAGTCAAGATTTTGACCGCTTCCGAGATCTCGAGGAATT